GAGAAGAGAGAAAAAGGAAGAGAGCTTATTTGAAGGAAAAATGGTGGAACACTTTAAAATCTTGGGAAAAGAAACGTACATACAAATATCAGAAACTCAGTGATCTCCAAATAGGATAAACTCAAAGAGGCACAACACCAAGAGACATTATAATCAAACTGTCAAAAACAAAGAGGAAATCTAAAAAGCAATGAGAAAAGTGACTCATCACATACAAGAAAACCTTTGTAAGATCATAAGCAGATTTCTCCTTTTTTTTGGAGTTGGCGTCTCACTCTGTCGCCCAGACTGGAGTGCAGTGACCGCTCCCGGCCACCGCAGCCTCGACCTGCTGGCCTCTGGCGATTCTTCCGCCTCAGCCTTCCAAGTAGTTAGAACTACAGGCACGTACCACCACGCTGGGCTAATTTTTTGAATTATTGTAGAGATGAGGTCTCACCAAGTTGCCTAGGCGGGTCTCGAACCCGCAGGCTCAGGCAATCCACTCACCTCAGCCTTCCAAGGCGCGGGATTATGGGCTGAGCCACCGAGCCCGGCAGCAGATTTCTTAGTAGAAATTTTACAAGCCAGAAGGCAATAAGATGATATACAGTACTATACCCCATGATGACATTTCAGTCAATGGTGGACTGTATATATGACAGTGGTCCCCCAAAATTATAATCGAGCTGGAAAATTCCTTACATCTGGTGACAACATAGCTGTCATCATGTCATAGCTCAAAACATTAGGCCAGTGACTACTTTAGACCCTGATGACTACTTATGCAAAAATCCTCAAAAAAATAATTGCAAACAATTCAATAGCACATTATGATCAAGTGGGATTTATTCCTGGAATGCAAGGATGTCTTGAAATACAAAAATCAATCAATATAATACACCACATTGACAGAGTAAAGGAGAAAAAAAACACATGATCATTTCAACTGAAGGAGAAAAAGCATATGACAAAATTTGACCCCCTTTTATGATCAAAACACTCAATACAACCTGGAATAGAAGGGAACGACCTCAACATAATAACAGCCATATGTGGAAGACCCACAGCTCACATCAATGGAAGACTGAAAGCTTTTCTTCTATGGTAAAAAACAAGACAGGGATGCCCACTTTTGCCACTTTTATTTAACATTATACTAGAAGTCTTAGACCAATTAGGCAAGAAAAAAATAATAAGCATGCAAATTGGAAAGGAAAAAGTAAACACTTATGTTTACAGACAAGGTAGTCTTATATGTGTAAAATCTAAATATTCTACCAAAAAAAAAAAAAAAAAAACCAGCCGTGATAGCTACTGATTTCAGCAAAGTTGCAGAATACAAAATCAACATACAAAAATCAGTTGCATTTCTACACACTAACAATAAGTGACCCCAAAAAGAAAACAATTCCCTTTACAGCAGCATCAAAAATAATAAAGTACTCAGGAAGTTACTTAACCAAAGAGGCAAAAGACTTGTTTACTGAAAACTACAAAACGGAGTTGGAAGAAAATTAAAACACTAATAAGTGGAAAGACATCCTCTGTCCTTGGGTTAGAATACTTATTATTAAGATGAGGCAACCCCCTCGGGTTCTCTCCCCTGTGGGAGCTTTTCTGTTCTAGTCTTGAGAAAAAAAGTTGGAGGCCTCACACTTCCTGACTTTAAAACTCATTACAAATCTACAGTAATCAAAACAGAATGGTACTGGCATAAAGACAGTTTTACGGAACCCAGAAATAAACCTTCACATATATAGTCAAATATTTTTCAGCAAGGGTGCCAACATTATTCAACAGGGAGAGTATTGCCAACACAGTGTTGGGAAAACTGAATATCCACATACAAAAGAATGAAGGTGGACCCTTACCTAACACATTTGCAAAAATTAACTCAACATGGACCAAAGACCCAAGCCTAAAAGAATATTAGAAAGTAACATATGTGGTAAGCTCCATCATACTGAATTTGGTGATTTCTTGGCTACGACACCGAAAGTACAGTCAGCAAAATTAAATATAAACTATGTAAAAGTTAAAAACTTCCAGGCATTAAAGCAGTGGTCCTCAGCCTTTTTTGGCGTCGGGGACCAGTTTGGTGGAAGACAATTTTTCCACGCACGAGGGGAGGGGATCATCAGACATCAGAGTATCCTAAGGGCACACAACCTAGGTTCCTCACATGCACAGCTCACAATAGCTTCGCACTCCTATGGGAATTCAGTGCTGTCACTGACCCAATAGGAGGCAGAGCCCCACTCACCCGTGGCTCACCTCCTGCCGCGCCACCTTACTCCTAACAGGCCAGGACGGTACTGGTCAGCCGCCTGGGGGCTGGGGACCCCTGTGTTCAAGGACATAATTAATAGAGTGCAAAGGCAACTCTCTCAGTACATTTTCTAACACTGTAGCAGGATACCACAAATTGGCAATTTACAAAGTTGATTTGGTTTAGGGCTCTGCAGGTGGAAGACCAAGAGCATGGTGCTGGTGTCTGGCAAGGAAGGCATCCCATGGGGACAGAGCACAGGAGGCAGAGAGCACATTAGGGCTCGACTCATCCTTTTACCCAGAGCCCACTTGGGCAGTGACGGCGTTAGTCCATTTGTGAGGCCGCCAGGAAAGACACTTGACTTGAGCACAGTGAACTGTTAAGATAACACACCTGTTGTTTTAAGTCATCAGGCTTCAGGTAGTCTAGGACAGTAATAGCAAACTGATACATCATGTGATAAAGATGGCACACTAACAGGACTACTGGCTTGGACAGGGTACGATGTTTAGATCTGGAGCTGTAATGCCACTTATAAAAGGAACCCATTCTGAAGGCTTGCAGATCTGATTTGATAAGCTCCCCTCCACATCTTCATAAGAGACAGTTACAGAATCCACACCAATATCTGGAATGAAAGCAGTATCTGATATGAACATTTCACAACTTATGTAGAATAAAATTAATGGAAATTAAGCTGGTCACCTACAATAGCATCAAGTCCACAAACATGGAATAAAAGATGTTATAGCTTCTTCTCTTTACACTGTGTAAAAGCACTCAATTGAGAGTTTATTGCAAACAGCTGTAATTACAGAGGAAAAAATAAAACCATCCTGAGTCAGGCATATTCATCAGAGAGATGCTACTGTAAAGTTACCAAGGCTAAGTTCTTAAAAAGTGGCACAGCTGACTCACTCTGTCTTTAGATGTGAGAGGAGAAAAAAGAAAAAAGTGGAAATCAGTGAGGTGAGCCGAGAACATGGTAGTTTAACCCCTGTCCTACGGCAATATCAAGCCCGCCATCAGATGGCAAATCACATAGCAAAGTTGATTCCACCTGGAGCAAAAGTCTAGGATTAACTGCTAGATTTGCACCAAAAAGGGTTAAGTCCCAAAAGAAAAAAGCTGTGTCACAGGGTTGATTTAAAACTGCAGGATTCAAGAGGTTTTCTGTTTTCAGTGTGGCTGAGAAAAAGACAACTGTATATCCAAGATATTTTACCTGTCCTACTTGTTGGCATTATTATTCCAGGACTGGAAGCTTGTTCTCATGAGTGCCAGGTACTCAGTGGTTTTCCTGTGTTCAGCAGAGTAACAAACTTGAGACTTCTAAGACCTTACCTGACATTATCTACAAATTGTTATCTTCCAAATTAGCTTATTAACCAAATTCTGTTCTGTTGCCACTGATGTGAATTTACCTCATCGTGGAAGACTCTCTTTTCGGGTTTATAATCCGAATAAAAATATAAAGTACAGAACACTAGTCAGAGGTGTCTGAGGCAATTACTGGATATGTCTGCAACTTTCAGCTGTATTGTGAGAAAGGTGATCATTTAGAAAAGACCATTTCAAAACCAGCTTCAGATTTTCACTCGCTCTCAGTATTAGGAAAGTGAAAAACTTGCCAGTCACGGATGTGTTAACAGGGATGCCTGAAAAAATGTAAAACGACTCCTGATTTAAAAATGTGTGGTACCAGTTAAGTTAAAGCCAGCACAGCATCTCAATCCTCAAGACCTCACACTGTCCCAATGAGGCGGGCAGGACAGGCAGCCACCGGGATTAAACCACCTTTAATGTGAACGAACGAGGTTTTCCACGCAGAGTCCCTCACACACAGTATTTCCCTTACCTGACCACAGAACTCAGAGAGAAAAACAGCTAGGAAAACAAGGATATGTTCAAAACAAGTGGAAATAATGGACTTGGGAAATCGTACAATACAAACCACGTACACACACACACACAAACACATATGAAGATGTTGCTGATGTGAAAGCCTTTGTTTTTTAATTTGGCTGATACACATTTAACAAAATATTTTAGAATAGGTACAAGGTATTTACAGTAACCAAACCATGAAAAACATAAAGTGGCTATATTTCTCTAACAGAAAGTTCTCTACATTTTCTATCATGAATCTGGAAGACTCTTAGTTCCTACTCATTACCCTGGTCTTAACCCTCAACGGGTGACATGCAAGGCCCGGGAGCAGGACATACAAGATCTAACACATTTGGCAATTAAGAATAATCTGTTTGTGTGAGCCAGATCTTACGGTTACAATACAGAACGGAAGACTCCATTAAAAACAACTAAGGACAAGAAAGACCCCAAATCACACTTATCTGTCTCTCAGTCTCCTATAGGAGAAGGCTGCAAACTATTTTAAAGACGTACTCAATTTTCCCCATTAGCAGAAAATCAGCAACCCTGAGACTCCAACTTTCCGTGACATAAAACCTAGTAAACATCTAGAAACCGTTAGAGTCATAAACTTTATATGATCAAACAGAACATAACTCTTGTGACTTTAAAATATACGTAAAAAATCAAGATCTCAAATTTACTTATCATGCCTAATTCCTAAACATGGCAACTAACGCTTTCTATTGTCTGAAGTCAGTTTTACTCACACTAAGACACACTTTAACTGAGTACAACCTGCTCTTCATTGTGAAGTGGAGTAGCTACTCCTCCATAATTAAGATACTTAACAGAAATGAGAACCTTTACCATCTGGAGTATACAGTAGAAATTTATTGATTTGTAAGATAAGCACATGCCACAAAGAAAATAAGCAAATGTCCATTCTTGGTGACACAATTCAGACAGTCAAACACTACTGCTCCAACTAGGCTACTTAACAAGCTACACTGTCAAAGAATGGCTTCAGACAAACAACTCTGAAGGCCAGAGTCACAGTGTTTAAAAATCAGATCTGCTGCTCCTCCAGGGGTGGTTCGAGAGCTTCCATCAGCTTTTTATTTGCTTCTTCGTTATGCCGGCTTTGACAATGAGTTAAGTGTTTCTTAAAGCCTCTTGGGAAATTTGACTCAAAATTACAACGTGGACATTTAAGTAAACTTTGCCCATGAGCTGCTACATGATTTTTAAGGAGAGATTCCAGAAGAAAAGCTTTCCCACAAATTGTGCATTTGTAAGGGCTATGAACATTATGCTTATTAACCAAATGATGCAAGACAGCACCTTTTTTCATAGCACGGCAGCAACAGATTTTGCAATAATACTTTCCTTTTCCACGCTTCATGTATTTTGCAATCTCCTCTTCAGAGATAAAAGCTTCTTTTTCCTCAGTAAATTGTAGCACACTTTTGGACTGCTCTGGACCAGTCATGTCTATTTTGTTCTCTTTACTAAAGTCAATAGATTCCACATCAACTTGCTCTTGATCACTACTCGATTCTTGGCCCTTAATGTCTATTGCATCCAAGTCCGTTTTTATATACTCACTGCTGCTAAGCTCGGCATCTGAGCTCTCCTGGTTGTCTTTCTTGAGCTTCTTTGAGGAAGGAAACAAAGTTTCTTCCAAGAGTTTCTTAGGTGTAGTCAGAAGTTCTTCCTGACCCAAAATATCACACTTCTGCTCATCTGTGGCATCTATCTGTAGTTCATCACCAAGCTCAACTGCCTTCTGAGACTCTGGGAATGCAGCAGCTTTGGGAAGTTCGAAGGCATGCTTCCGGGGCTCTGGAAAGAGGGCACGTTTTCGTGGTTCAGGAGAAGCAGGAGGGGCTGTTTTGGTGGACTCCGGAAACAGAGCAGGTTTTCTAGGCTCAGTATCAATAGAGAGAACAGGCTTCCAGATATCTGAGGCTGCTTTGGGGGACTCAGATGGCCCAGAAGGACCTGGTTTTCGTGTCTCGGACAAGACAGCAGGTTTCTGCGGTTCAATAAAAAAGGAAGATTTCCAGAGATCAGGAGAACCACCACGGGAACTTTTCTGGGACTCAGGGAAATCTAGCGAAGTAGAAGTTTTCCGCTGATCAGGAGAAAGCTTCCAAAGGTCTGGTGACGCTGAGGGCTTTCTGAGTTCTGGAGATCCCGCTGGACTACGGACCTCTGGAGATAGTGGTGGGCCTGGTTTGCGAAGCTCAGGAGACATAGGGGGGACTGCCTTCCAATGTTCAGGTGACAATGTGGGGGCTGTCTTTCGGAGTTCTGGCGGGCCAGACTTCCATGACTCAGGAGACGCAGGGGGAGATTTCCAGGAACCAGGTGAGACTGATGAGGACTTCCAGGACGCAGGGGACATAGATGGAGTAGGTTTCCAAGGCCCAGGTGATATAGAAGGAATTGGTTTCCAAGGTCCAGGAGACACTGACGGAGCAGGTTTAGCTGGCTTCCAAGGTCCCGATGATGCCGGAGAACTGGATTTCCAAGGCCGAGGGGACCCAGGTGGCCCTGGCTTCCAAGAACCTGGGGACACAGCTGGGGCTGGTCTCCTAGGCTCTGGGGAGACAGCAGGGAATGGCTTCCAAGGTTCAGGAGACCCTGATGGGGATGGCTTCCTTGGCTCGGGGGAAGTAGTCCGGGCTGGTTTCCGAGATTCTGGAGATGCAGTTGGGGATGGTGCCCAAGGTTCAGGGGAAGCAGCCAGAACTGGTGACTCTGGAGATGAGGCTGAAGGTGGCCCCAATGTTTCTGGGAAATGAGAGTGTTTCTGCGGTTTGGGATTAGTGAGAGTAGCCTTTACTGGGTCAGGAGATACAGGGGCAAGTTTCTGAGGTTCTGGAGAAGGAACAGGGACAGGCTTCTGAGATTCGCAAACACCAGGGACTGGTTTAAGTTCAGGAGAAGAAACGGGGGCAGGCTGTGAAGGTTCAGGAGAAGGAAGAGATGTCTGCAGCTCAGGAGAAACAACAGGGCCAGGTTTCTCAGGCTCCAGGGGAGTAAGAGGAGTGGGCTGTGGTGACTCTGGAGACAAAACTGGACCAGGTTTCTGTGCGTCTACAGAAAGGGCAGGTATGGGTTTCAGGAGTTCTGCTGAATTAGATGATGTTTTCTGGTGTTCAGGTAGAGGAGGGCTTTTCACAGGCTCTGTTTCTTTGTTCAACTGATTTTTTGGTTTATCAATCCACTTTTCTGGGGCTGCATGTTTGGATGTGATATGATAGTACACATTAGAGTACATTTTGCTGGTGAAGAAGCATTTATGGCAGTGAAATAGCTTTGCACTTTTCTGGTAGAATATCATTTTACCTAACCCACCAGCGTCCATTTCGTCACAAAATTCTGGATGGATGGTACCCATATGGATTTGCACATTTTCATAGTCTGTGCCTCTGAAACTGCAGTGGTCACACTCCAAATGTGTTGATGGTTTACGAAGTTCCTGGAAGACTTCCATTCTTCTTTCTGTTACAACACACACGGTTCTAGTCTTTACAAACTTTCAATATTGCTGCAATAAAGTAGAAATAAGTTATTTTCATGAAATATAATTGACTATACACAATTTATATATATCATATATAAATATAAGGCTGTCAGTCCATTCTATAACTGCATAATTTTAAGTCTTGAATGATTCCTGTTTTATTAGATAATATCTCTAAGTATTACATACTAGGTAATATACTATTTTGAAGAGAAAGAAGATATGGAACTAAATTTTAACTCAGTCCCAGGCAATTTGCTAGGAGTTTTATATACATTTATATACATTTTAGAAATGTATATAGTTTATATTTATATTATATACATTTAATCATCGCATTTAATCCTCCTAAAAAATGACTCAACTATTATTTTAATTTACAGATAAAGAAACTGAGGTTCAGAGAATTAAATGACTTCTCTGGTCCATCTTACAGGACTAACAGTGACTTTACTGGTCCATCTTACAGGACTAACAGTGACTTTAGCCTCACCTGAGAATTATCTACTGTTTTTTATACTTTTTGACTCTCAAACCCTGAATTTATGAGTCATCAGCACACAAAGATGAGTAAATACCAAAATTAAACCTAAGCTATTTAAGGCTAAACAAGAAACTAGATCCTTTTCAGAAAGCACTTATTATACTAAACCTAGCTATAAAAAGATGGGGGTTTTTTTGAGTTGGGGTCTCACTCTGTCATCCAGGCTGGAGGACACTGGCACAATCATGGGTCACCACAGTCTCAACTTTCTGGGCTCAGGTGATCTTTCTGCCTCAGCCTCCCAAGTAGCTGGGATTACGGGCACGTGCCATGACGCCCAGGTAATTTTTTTATTTTTGTAGAGCTGAGGTCTTGCTATATTGCCTAGGCTAGTCTTGAACTACTGGGCTCAAGAAATCTTCTCACCTTGATCTCCGAAAGTGCTGGGATTACAGGTATGCATCACTGTGCCTGACTGGTTTTATTTTTTTTTTTTTTGAAACATGATGCCAGCTTGATTAAATGTCAAGATATCTTATAATGTTTAGTCCATCCCAATATAAAGTATTTCATTTATTAATTTAATAAAGAAATTATTTGATGTCCTATGACAGTCTAGGCACTTAGGTTTAAAGTAGTGTCTTGCAATATGGCATTTATGAGCTGAGGAGATAAGAGTGTGGAAACCAATGTAGAGAGGTTGCCAGGAAAGACCTCTCTGAATAAGACCCTCCAGCAGAGATCTTTTTATTTTTTTTGAGTTGGAATCTCACTCTGTCGCCCAGGCTGGAGTGCAGTAGCACGCTCACAGCCACCCTAATATAGACCTGCTGGGCTCCGGCGAGTCTTCTGCCTCAGCCTTCCAAGTAGCCAGAACTACAGAAGCATGTTACCATGCCCAGCTAAATTTTTGATTTACTGTAGAGACAAGGTCTCACCAAGTTGCCCAGGCTGGTCTCGAACCCACGGGCACAAGCAATCCTCTCGCCTCAGGCTCCCCAAAGTGCTGGGATTATAGGCTTGAGCCATTGCGCTTGGCAGAGATCTTGAATGTGAAGGAGTATGCCAAGCAAAGGCCAACAGAGAGGACATCCTAGAAGTTGGAACTTAGTTGCCAAAAAAAGATAACTTTTTCCATTTTAAACCCATCTTCTCAGGCAGTAAAAGCAACAGAAGTTCAGTTTAAAACATACTCATTCACACAGTACAAGATACTCACATTGTGTCAGTCCCCAGGGGTAGCATATACAAATCCACACACACATTCTACACAAAAGGGATCATATTAAACATATTATCTGGCAACTTGCCTTTGTTTAAGAAATTATCCAGGACATTTTTATGCATGGAGTAAGTACTGCCTTTCCTTCTACCTATCTTTGCATGTGAGGGTATTTCTGCTAGGAAAATTCCTAGAAGTGGATTGGATTACCAGGCTTAAATGCAATTTGCATTTAAAAATGATCCATTTTACCAAGCACTCAAAAAACTGTATTGTTACATATCAACAGGGTATATATGAGAGATAATTCCCTAACTCCCTCATCAACACTAATGTAATTAGTAGGCTATCTCAGATTCTGTAACTAACATGCACATTGAGTTTACACACCGAGCGGATCACAAAATCCTTGCTACTACTTGGGTTAAAACTGCTATCTCACTATTGTTTTAATGTGTTCTTCTTGAATGACAAAGATCGAGCACTTTCCTTTATCAGCCATTTGTCACTTTTTCTATGCTGGTTCCTTTTCTGTTTTTCTTTTAAGAGACAGGGTCTTGCTATTGCCCAGGCTGGACTTAAAACTCCTGAGCTCAAGCAATCCTCTCACCTCAGTCTCCCATTTTTGTCCCTTTTTATTAATAATTTGTAAATAGTCATTGTGTATAAAAGAAGTCAGCTCTTTTATTAAATATTTTCCCAGTTTATCATTTATTCTAACTTTATTTATGGTATTTTTTTAAACCACACTCGGTTTACATAAAAATTAAAAACTGTTTTCCTGTTTTAAATTAAGCTTTCCTACATCATTTTTTTCTTTTAGGTACGTGGTAGTTTTGCCTTATTTTGACAATTTCATTCTTTAACATTTGCATATTTAGTCCATCTAGTAGCAAGAATAAGATGGGAATCCAGCCGATTTTTTTCACCCCAAATCAGGTGTCTCAACAATATTCACTGCACAACCCTTTTCTTCACAGTTGTGTAATGTTCCACTTAGCGTTAACTAAATTTTATAAATACGGATTCTTCAACAGTTCCATTTTCCACCACTTTTCTCTCTCTCATCCTCCATTTCTGGTATGCTAGCTCAGATTCTGTAACTAACGTACACATTGAGCTTACTCACCAAGCGGGGGATCACAAAATCTCTTCTTGTTAAATTAAGCTCCATCATTTATTTACCAGCCACGACTGAGAGCATGCAATATGCACTGTATCAATGGTGATAACAATCAAGATTTTTTTTGCTGTTCCTCAAAGAACAGGGCAGATCAGAAACACAGGATCTCCCTTCACTAATTACAAAGATTTAATAACATTTCTAATTTTGGTAACTTGCTTTTTCAGATGTTACTACTGACAGCATTGTTTTCTATCACCTCTCAGTGGCCTGTCATCTGCCCCTCCCGCCGCCTTTTGGTCTGAGGCCAAAAAGGTGATAGTTGAGGAAACATATACTTTTCTTCTGAAAGTATTAACTCTTTCTAAGTTATCTAGCAGTTATTTTGTCTTTTAGAAAACTGTTTTTGGAGACAGAAGGACTACAACAAAAGGAAAATGAATCGTTCAGTAGCGATGAAAAATGTCTAAGAATGATCTTTAACTTACAAACATAATGAAAACATGTAGAAATGATGGGTGAACTATCCCATTAGAGCCCGCAGAGCCTAATGTCCAATAAAACCACAAGATTTTAGATAAGTCTGTATGTGTTTCCATGATCCCATCCGGCCACAGGCGGCAATGACCAACAGAAGAGCTCGTGTTAAGGAGCTGCTGTATCACATGGGCAATCTGGCCGAGTTATACTCCAGCTTGCTGGGTCGAGTCAGCCTTACACATCAGCCCCTGTCTCTCCCAACTGTCTCTCTCGTTCCTCTACTTACCACACCCTTTCTCATACTTCAAGAAGAAAATATGAACGAATACTCCAGAATTCACTTCTCATATGCCACATTCTACCATAGATATGTATGTGTAACACATATTTATATGTTACTGTGTGTGTGTGTGTGTGTGTGTGTGTGTGTGTGTGTGTGTGTGTGTATGCTTTTTAGAGTTTTCTCTCAATAACTCCAAACATTTTTTCAAAAAGTTTTCTCATTGTAAAATATTCTTCTGCCTGGCGCGGTGGCGCAAGCTTGCCATCCTAGCACTTTGGGAGGCTGAGGTGAGAGGACTGCCTGTGTCCAGGGGCTCAAGACCAGCCTGGGCAACTTGGTGAGACCTCATCTCTACAATAAATACAAAAATTAGTCGGGCGTGGTAGTACATGCCTGTACTTCAGCTACTTGGAAGACTGAGGCAGAAGGATCACCTGAGCCTAGCAGGTCGAGGCTGCAGTGGCCATGAGCGTGCCACTGCACTCCAGCCTGGGCAACAGAGTGAGACTCCGACTCAAAAAAAAAAAACAACAAAAAAAACCACAACTCTTCAAAGCATTAAAAAAATGAGAACCATTAAAAGCAAATAAAAAGTATATGCAAAGAAATGCTAGTGGAATAACAGTTTCTAAATCCAGGACAAATACTTTAAGTGGTGAAGAAACAAAGACCAATAAGCTCTCTCTACTGGACTTACCCGCTGTCTTACTAGACACCTTCAAAGAGTAGGCGGTCTACATGGCTTTTGGACTACACCACAGAAAACAGCCTAGAGTATATGAAGAACAAACAAAGAAGTAGAACCTGAAAAAAAAACAAAGGAAAGGTAATCAAAACTACATCTGTGACCATTTGTACTTCCGTAGAATTCTCTCTCTCTCTCTCTAATTTGCCCCCTCCAAAAGTCAGAGGGATCTAATCCAACACGCTCGACCACTTACTTTAATGAAATGACACCAAAGAGTATAGGAGATCCTCTGACACTGTTCTTATCTATCCTCCCTTTAATAATCCACTAGGGGATTATGCCCAGGTGCATAACCAGGCCCATCTCAAACCTACCACCTGACTTCAGCTTCTGTAGTCTTGGCAATACTGACCCAAATTCTTACTTCTTTTTTAATACTTTAAAGAAAAAAATTTATTCTTTTTTAAAAATAGAGACAGTCTCGCTATGCTGCCTAGGCTGGTCTCAAGCAATCCTCCTGCCTTGGTATCCCCAAGTGTTGGGGTTACAGGCGTGCACTGCTGTGCCCAGCCGAGTTTTACTTCTCTGACGAGCACTCAGAAGACAGCTGCTGTGACTAGACTGGCACGACAGGTGACTTTGGTCAAGCACCAAGCCTGCACAGCAGAATGGCAAATTGACATGCAGTGGGAGAAGGGACAACACAACCAATAGGGCCAAGGGGTAAAAAAAGAAAGGAAACCTGGAAGCAGGCAGGATGGTGGTGTCCTGACCCCAGGAAGGAACAGACATACCCGCTTCAGTGACTGCTATGGCCTCTTCTCTTCCCTTATGCACGTAAGAGGAACCACCACAGTCTGGATAAGTTGGCAAGAACAGAGTGGGATAATAACCCAGCCAACGGCTCAAAATATACTTCTGGTAAGCTCCAGCACAGTCATCTGCTCCTTCCTCTACTCCCCACACCTGGTCACTGCTTTAATGCTGACATCTCATTTCCTTGTCACTGGTCTTCCTCCCAACCCACTCCTCAAGGTGCTACCAAGGTCACTTTCCAAATGTGAAAGCCCAATTTGACCTGCCTGCTCACAATTCCCTGAAGTCTCCAAGACACTCCTATAAAATCTGAAAATGGCACATTCACTGTCATGAGCAGACCATGTTCTCAAAATACTGACCTACATGCAAAGTCGGACTCCTCATGCTTGGGCCTGTGCGCAACACATTTCCTCTCCTCACACTCTCTGTCCTGCCACGTGGCCACCAGCAAATTTCTCCATCCTTTAGGCAGGATGTCTTTTTGAGTACAGTTGCCCACCAGTATATGTGGGGGACTGCCCATGGATACCAAAATCCAGCACATACTCAAGTCCTGCAGTCTGCCCTGTGGAACCTGCACATAGCAGGTCTCGCAAGCTGTGAATACTGTCTTTTCTACTGGCATTTGGTTGAAAAAAATCCACAAAGCTCAAACCTGTGCTATTCAAGGATCAACCACGCTGGTCAATTCCCCACTCCTTCCCAATCTTCCTTGCCCCTCCCCCCCGGCACTGCCACCTCACTCCACAAGTTGTCTGCTCTTGGGGAGACGGGCCCCGCCATTTATTCACCTCTATAACCCTTGTACATCCCTGGCACACCGCATGTGCTCAGAAAACGCCTGGTCAATCCTAACATTCTCTCAGGATGGCTGGAAACCCAATCTTAGATTCGCAGGACTTTAAAACTAGAGGGAACTTGAGCTGAGGAGGACCTAGAGGACACTTCTAGCCTCAGAACCACAGGGAGCATCTACTTGAAAACTCCAGTTGAGGAAACTCAAGCCTGACATTAAATAGCTTGCTCGAATAAGGCAAATGATCAGCATCAGAGACACAATGAAGTTCTGCCATCCAGGTTCTCTCTAGATGTGATCCAACGAACACCGTGGAACTTAAGATCTTAAGAAGCCTGTGCAACTGGCCACAATCAACAAGATGACACTCAAACACCTGGAGCCCATACACCAAGCACACAAATGCAAGACAGTAAGAAAGCCGTACCCCACACTCTGCACCAGGCAGAGCACACCAGTGGATCGCTGTCTCCAGCTTGGGGCAGAAAGGACATTTTAAGACCGTCTCTAACAAACTGGGAAACATACAAAAGAAAGCAACCAGGATGGCAGGCAGGCACCCTTTTCAAAAAACGTGGTCGCTAGTGAACACAGACATCGAACTTCAAAAGGGGAAGAATTACAGATGATACATAAGCTGTCCTAGAAGCGATAAAACAGAAGCCAGCAGGAAAAGAAAATGGATCTCAGCTCAACACAATTTCACTAACGACTAGAACATTAGAACAAGATGCTGTGTCCGGCAGGAGCACTCCATAATCAGAAGCTGATCATCAATACAGGACTAGGAGAAAACCAGTGCTGGGTGAGAGAAGCGACTTCGCCAAAGATCACCGCAACGAGATCACAGGAAGCAACAGGAGACCCCCGTTTTCGGATCCTGGGTCTCTGTGGTAATACGATGCCGTCTTTCCCACAGCAGGTGAACAATCCACAGGGACGTTACAGAATTCGGCTTCTAAGTAGAGCTAGACAGCGGAGGTTCGTTTCTGCTTTTACATTCTAGGAAACTTTTTTTCTTAAACTTCAGACCGCCTAGCTGAACAAGTAACTCCACACTGTCCAGACTTTAGAAATCTATCTCATCCCACTTTTCACCTCCACAAGTTGCATCTGGTTTCTAAGAAAACCGAAGTCTTTCTCACGGGGCTCTGGCAGCCCATCACCCAGTGTCACGGAGCACATCGCGCCTCTTCCCGTTCGACTTCTTCCTTGAAGCCGAACACCGCCGACACCTTGCAAGTCACACATCCGACGTCACCTTGCAAGTCACACATCCGACGTGCGACTCTTGACGTCGCGCTACGATCTGCAGAGCATACTTACAGCCAGATGGGCCTGGGCAATCCCCTGGGTGCCCTCCCCCTCCGGGAGCTTTTCTGTCCTCTCAGTGAGTCCTGCTTCCCTCCCCGCTCCCAAAAAGGCAAAGCTAGATCCCTGGGGTCCATTCGACTGCTGACAGTGGTCTTCACCTCAAAAGGCCCGCTCGACCTTCCGAACAGTTAGTAAGCCGACCGTTCGAGTCGTTCCACGCCTAAAGAAAACACCCCGAAAGCACAAGAATCGCCGTACCCCTCCTCCCGCCCTGCTGGTTCCTCCGGTCCCAAGCTGGGCCCCCTCCAGAAGGCCGAAGCCCAGCGGCTGCAAAACCGGACGCTCACGGAGGGCCGACGGGCCCTCGCCGCGCGCGCTGGCTCTCGGGCTTCGGCCCGGGCACGCTCCGCCGGCGGGAAGACGCGCCCCGACACGACG